TTAGCCCAGCATGCCATCTGCCAGCCAGCTCGAGGCACACTGCCTACCGACAACAAAATGCCTGGACCCGCTCGTCGGGTCTTCAGCTCTGAATGCTCGTTGACGTAAAGCGCTCGGGCAATAACAGAGCACAGAAGAAAACCTCGCGCTCGTCGTTGCTCGCCTTTTTGCGCTTCGGATCTGTTCTCCGTTTCGCGAAGCATGCAAACGCCAACGAAAGTCAACACATCGACGTTGTGGCGGGTGACAGGGACGGTACAAGCCCTCCTCTGTCCGTACACACTACCACGCCTACGATACTAGCTTCTATGAACGCCGCTGAGGCTTCTTACGCCAGGCGTCGGGTTTCCACTGCATTTGGCGAGCACGTGCGGTGCGGACAAGAATGGTCGCCAGCACATCATGCAAGCTCGCCCTTCTGTCCTCGATGAAGTGTGTTGGGATCAAGGAAGCCATTGCTAGGCTGAAGCGAGCCACGGTGGATCCGCACCGCGGTCATGGCCGTCTGACAGGCTTCTTGAAGGTCATGAGTGGCGGGGCAGCCCGCAGCACGACTAGTCTAGAGCAAAAGATTTTTCTCACGTTCTTGCTGCAGGAAGCTTAGCACAGTTTTGGGCCAATAACATTTCACTAGCGTTGATGAAAAGCAGTTGATTGGAGTAGAACGTTCTTTCGAAGCCCACATCGATCAGCTCGGCAAAAAAAAAGGCGCATACTCTAGCAATCTAGTTCCCCATTGGACCCATGTCGGGGCCACATCTGCAATTTCCGCCTCACCCACTCTCGTGCAGATGAAAGAACGAAAGGGTCTGCTTCGTCAAATCTCACTGGTTACCAAGTATCTAATTCACGAATAGCAGTAAAGAGACGTAATGGTCAGGCTGCAGGGCACCAATTCTTTACGGCACAGAGCCAACGCGAGACTTTTGAGCGCAGTACATAGACAGACTTTACCTTCCTGCAGCCCTCTTCTTACATTGCGCCGCCAGCCCAAAAAATAAAGTATGGCGGCGGCGGTAGGACGGTTACACAGCCGTTGATGATTGATCGGGGAGATCTAAGATCTCTGCCCCGCGAGCCGTCCGCAATGCTGTGGCTCTATCGGCGACAGATCTGACAGAGACAACTCTGTACGATAGGGGCCTCGCTCTAAGTGGTAACGCCAGGCTGATGCTATCGACCCATACTACTGTACTGCCCGGAGTAGTCTACTCAGACTTGTCAATAACCGGGCTACCCCTGTCGACCCGCCTAGCTCGTTCGTTGGTCTGACATCCCCGGCGAAATAACTAGTTTTGTCGTATGGGG